GGGGGTCAGAGTATTCGGCGATGTATTTTACAAAAGGCAGTTCAAATAACACCTCGCACCATCTACTCAGAAATAAATCTAAAGGAAGTTATTTGGTAAGAGCTGTTTCACCAGATGTGTACCAAGGAGGACGTCCTCAAGCTGGGCTAGAGGCAGCAAAACATTCAAAATCAACCATCCATGCTTGCCCCATTGTGCGGCAATAATCTCGGGCGTTGGTTCTCAGTCTGTAGTGGAAATTCTACATTCCTATGGTAGAAGGTGGGAACGAGTATCTCCACAACATAATCACCGTTGACTTTGAAACAATTTGTGCAGCTGCATGAGGTGGGTGATTACTTCGCTCACGCCGGAGGAATCATTAGGCTGAGTCAACACCCGACCTGAACTTGAACTCACAACTATGAACACACAAAAAAGGCTTTCTCAGCCACCGGCGTCAGTACCAGGGCTAGAATGTGGTGCGAGCGCTCATAGGAATTCAACACAGATCTCCTAGTAGCAGGTGTGGCCAATTTGAGGTTAACTGCAGACAGAATGTACCAACGAGTGCATTGTGTTTCACCTGAACCTAATTAGCCTTACCTGGCCAGTGACAATTCACATACTCTGTGATAAATCACTCAGCGTGTTTGTCTCAAGTCCTGGGTGTCTTGACAACGGTACAGGTGATGCGGCCTGCATTACAACACCTGTTCCACCAGTGAGCCACTCCCAATATCCCCACTTCACCCCAGAGATTCAACTGCATCACAAGGTAAAAGATATGGAGGCTGGTTAGCAAAAAGACACAAAAACAAAGATCCCCCGTGTAGCATTAACAGACTGTTGGGGCAAGTGCTGTTAGCCAGTACCTATGAAGGCCGGTACAGCAACACGCCCGGCCGCCTTTATCTCCCCAGTAGTGATGTTTTTGCATCGCACCAGGAATTCATTTAAGGCCGAGTCGACCTAGGGGAGGCCCAGGACCGGTTCAGATAATTATCACTGTTGTTGGCCCTGAGCAGGAATCATACTTGAGTTGCCGAGTTCGTAGCGCCGCGCACCCCACAGACAAACAGACACACACCCACACAGCGCGCTCCGTGAAACTGACACTAATGGCTTGTTTTCTGAGTGCTGTCATGCTGTGGCCATTTGCTAAAATAAAGTATTATCCCAGCTCTCCAAAATATTCATGGGGGAGCCCACTTGGGGGCCCTGCGCTGGACGGTTCCAGTAACTCAAAGCGCAGCCGTTGCTTATAAATCGCGGCTCACTCACGGCCACAAACCTCTCAGCCGCACGACAAATACCTCGCACGCTCAAAATCTTCTCCAAAGTTCCCTGGCTGCAAAATGGAACCCTTCCTCACCCTCCGACTAAAGCCGTTCGCGGATACTACAGTGTGCATTTCAGTGACGATGAAGTCAACGTGAGTTTATGTTTCCTGAAGATCGTGGCAGAATTTGTTTTCTCTTCATGTTCATTTTGTGCCAGGGTAACGGTGAAGGTCATAAGTACTTCAACAACATCGTAAAGCTCGGATGGAATTGAAAATCCAGACATTTATGTTTCTGGTTGCGTGCTTTGAGGTTAAACCAGAAAATATATAAGATGTAAATAAGGAAATATGCCCCAGTAATAATAAAGTGCAATAATTGGGAGGCACCCTCGCGACCACAGTTATGTGTATTTTTAAATCCTTTATATTAAGTTCGCTTGCTTGCTTAGGACCGTGCAAATCTTTCGGTCGTTTTTAACCCACTTCCCGTGAGCCAATCGAGCTGACATTTTTCACACAGACTCGTTGTGCGTGACAATTAATGTTCGTGAAATTTTTTTTCCATAGGTGGCAGCCATCTCAAGCCAGAGGACGAGAGGACTCTAGCCGCCACGCATATAAAGGATTTATAGTGAAAAACTTTGTTTTTACGGGTTATACTTATTAAATCCTTTATATTAAGTTCACTTGCTTGCTTGCTTGCGTGCTTACGACCGTGCAAATCTTTCGGTCGTTTTTTAACCCACTTCCCGTGATCCAATCGAGTTGACATTTTGCACACAGACTCGTTGTGCGTGACAATTTTTTTTCATGAAAATTTTTTTCCAAAATTTTCCACTTTTTAGGAATTTTTTTTTAAATATTTAATTTAAAATACCAATGTGATAAAAATGAAACTCTTACTCAAGAAAAACAGAAATGAATAATAAAATAAAACCGATGCCACGCATATAAAGGATTTATAGTGAAAAACTTTGTTTTTACGGGTTAATTTTTTATGCACCATGTATTGAAAAATTGTGTACATTCAAAAATATTTCCCAACTGTGCTGCCACGGAGGAGTATTTAACCTTTGTTTAATGAGCGACTCTCACAGTATTTTATCTAACAATACCAACCTGAAAGCTTTGCTCAAGCTAAACCAACAAGTCACTTAAAAATGTGAAATCAAAACAAAGAAAGAAGCATTAAATGGCAAGCGAGTGGAAATCTCATCACCCGTGATGACCGCACACACAGAGAGAAGGAAGGAATGCATTGGAACGAGGCGGTCTCGCAGAGAAGAAATCCCCACTCGGCCCCAACTGTGAAGTGCAAGGACACGGCTGCTTTTTAGTTTCCACCAGTCACATCAACATTGGCCATTCAGCTCCCCCCCGTATCCCACCCCGTGCCGGCACAGACTCCCACACTACCCACGACTGCACCATATCTGCTTTGCTGCAGGTAGTGGGGTGCCATGGTGATGAGAAGTCAACTACCTCGCCTGGTATACAGGAGATGGTGAGTTTGCATGTCTCTCTCCCCGTGGTTACGTGGATTTTTCTCCAGGCCCTCTGGTTTTTCCTCTCCACATTTAGAATAGTCATGCGTTCAGAGTATTAGGCTGCTATACATTTCTACGTGATAAGCCACTTCGTTGAGCTATCATTTGTGGCCAGGTGGCTTCTGAAAAAGAGCTATATAGCTCAGTGGGCCTGACCTGGTTAACTTAAAATAGTGTTATTTTATCTTTTTGGTTCTTTCGGTAAAGTCACGTAGAAGGGAAGTAATAAAATAATACAAATAAAACATAATAAAATACTTCTCACGACGTTTCGGCCACAACGCAAGCAGCCGTCCTCAGGTGAAGAACATGTCTGTCGATAAGACAGAGTCTAAATGACACGTCTTAGGCTTGGAGTGTCTATTTAAGCTGTGAGGGAGGAGGAAGAGAGCCTTGACAAAAGAATTTGCATTTGAAGAGGAATTTAGAATATTTATGGGAAATGCAGGAATGCGAATAGTACTTATTTTGAAATGCGTGGGAGGTGGGCACTATTCGCATTCCTGCATTTCCCATAAATATTCTAAATTCCTCTTCAAATGCAAATTCTTTTGTCAAGGCTCTCTTCCTCCTCCCTCACAGCTTAAATAGACACTCCAAGCCTAAGACGTGTCATTTAGACTCTGTCTTATCGACAGACATGTTCTTCACCTGAGGACGGCTGCTTGCGTTGTGGCCGAAACGTCGTGAGAAGTATTTTATTATGTTTTATTTGTATTATTTTATTACTTCCCTTCTACGTGACTTTACCGAAAGAACCAAGAAGATGAATTCCTGCAGTCACGAAAGCTTTAAATCGAAGTGTTATTTTAGTTTTATAGTTTACAATCGAGCGGTTTGCACATTGGCTCACTCAGGAGGTTTGTCACGGTGGTTTCCTTTTCATTAGTTTTTCCTTTTCGCTAATTAATGTCAAACTATCATTATTATTTATTATTAACTACTACGATAGTGCACCCATGATAGTCCCACTGAGTCTTAAGACTCTTTTTTCAGGAGGGTCCTGCAACGTCGTTTGTAGTCGGGGGATGATGTTACCGTACTGTGTAATCCCAATTTAGTAATTTGCAGCAAATTTATCAGAATTGGAATGGTTGGCCAGTACGAATTAGATTGTATGTTTTTTATTTAACTATGAGTGGAAACCAGTGAACTCCAGCAGAACAGAGGGAACATACAAACTCCACAGAAAGGCACCCCAATTGGGGATTTGCTGTGAGATGCCCTGCCACATAACTGTGCGAGTGCGCAAACTTCACACACACACTCTCACGTCCTGGTCAGCAGCCTGCATGCATTGCCTCCTCATAGCCATCATCTTTATACCAAGTAATCGCATGTCTCTCGCATGGGGCGACATTCACATCTTAAAAAAATGGGCCAATGCAATTCTTTGATAATTATTTGCCCCATTCGTGATGATAGAGAGCATTAGCATATTTTTGTAAAAAAATTATACAGAAAGGAATATTCCAATCTATAATCTCAGTGCGATACCCCCGCAACTCTTCAAAACCAGCAGCCACAAACATTATCAAACGTTCTACAATTTTAAAAGTGATCTGGATGAAACCCGCCAGATGATTTTCGCTGAAGTGCCCTCAATTATGGATTCATGGAACACACACCCAAAATAATACGTGGCTTTCATCTTGCAGACACACACGTGTAGGCTATGTGACTCTGACTTCATGACTTGAGATTGACGCTTCGTTACCGAGAATAAAATGCAATAAAATTATGGTCAGGGGTGCTTCAGCAACATCGTTGCGAAGCTCTCATCATCTGTTTACAAAAACAATAGTGTTATTTAAACTTACATGGCGAGAAAACATTGATCCAGAAGGCCAAAGACTCGACTAAACGTTAGCTTTTTTGTAGTTGTATTGCCTATAACATTTGACACATGAGTTTGAAAGCTTGCTGTGTTTTAGATTGTGTTACTGTAATGTGTATGTTTACATGCAGCAGCAGCACGGTAATTGTGAATGTGGCCCTCTGGCGACTGTGACTGCGGTGCTGTGATGTTGAACACGGCCCATTAGTTGCTGCTGTCTGTCGATTGAGCAGACTTGGGGTGGAGCTGGAATGATGATCATTATGTTAACCTAGAATGTGACCGACCGTTCTACATTAACATAACGAGAAACAAGTGTCTCCAGTGGTGGAGACACGGCGGCGTGCCTCACCGCTGCAGGGTGAGGCGCAGATTGCCCACGCTGTTCTTGATCTTCGTCTGCGCCTCCAGGTGCGTCATGCTGTCAGTGGGTGTGCCGTCGATCTGCAGCACCACGTCCCCGGGCACCACGGTGGCCTGAGCCGCTTTGCTACCCGGGCTTATCTGCACGCGGTGGAAAGAGACGGGATCGGATTTGAGGACATGTGAAGGAGCGCCGCTCGCGAGCAGCAGGAAGGGCACACGGTTCCCGCCTAGTCACGCGTGCCAAACTGGGCACCATAACGCACATTTGGCACTGCCCATCTGACTCCGCTCTTTAAATTTTGTGTGAACATCGGCAACGACCTATTTCAACGGGGCTATCCAAGATGCACGAATGTGGGCCCCCCTCCCAATGGCGGAGCCAGGCTTTTCAGGTAGGGGGGGCAACCCCTCCAGCAATGAAAAATTATACTAGTTGTTAGTAAGTAAGGACTTGTCCCTTGCTTTTTATTCGACGCGTGTGCGGCACTGGCGCAGCCATCGATTGAGGGTCGAATTAGAACTGTGATCGGCATCGCGCTCGCTGAAGGTGAATGCCTTCAGGGAAGTAGTGCACTGTATACGCAACTGCGCACAATTCTGAGTCACTTATAACTGCTTTGCCTTTACTTATTGCCAATTATGGACTCAGACTATTGTCCTGTCATCTCATAGAGTCCCTGGCACATAATACTATGCTACACAGTGGCAGTGGGGGTCGAAAAATGCCAATGTATTACTAATAAACCCCAATGATCTGATCGAAATTAGAGATTTCGGTCGGATCATTTAGGGGGCACGTGCCACCCTACCCCCCCCCCACACTAGCTCCGCCAGTGCCCGCTCCTTCCCCCCCCCCCCCCGATACACTTTTACTGAAATAGCTACAAATGTTTTTAACCCCGTATACAATGATATATATATAGTTCTCATACTAAAAAAAAATCTTCTTAAAATATTTTTACTTGTTTATATCTGTTGATTCGGGGCGCCATTGTGGCCGACTGGGCCGCTATGCATCGCATAACGCTGCCACGTACCCCCCTCCCCCATAGCTGCGCCTCTGGATATCCGGCATACGGCTCCCGGGCACCGCACGTTCAGCACTGGCCATCTGACCCCGCTCTTTTCATGTTGTGTGGACATTGGGCACACATTGCCCTCGGCCTTTGTCCACACCGGGCAACTCAAGAGCTGACCCTGTAGTTGGGCTACCGACTCGAAAGAGCTTGGAAAATCATGCCCATCCCAACAGCCGGTGCGATCTTCGATTGCAAGAAACACCCAGTGGTACATGTAAAGTGTGGTAACATATATAAAACACGCATGTACATTGCTGAGATGTGTTTTCATGAAGTACTGCAGATAGTGAACACACAACAATTATGGAGTAAGACAAACCTACGTAATTGCACACAGCAGCACAAATGATAGAACTGAGTGTAGGCAGCAACGTGTGGAACATACACACTCACCGCTTTGAAAAAGCAACTGAGCCATGATCCCACCAATTAGCGTTAACCACCAGCAGGCATTTAATTTGTTCACTTGAATAATGGGCGCAATTATTATTATATATATTTCCCTTCACATTTTAAACGTTATATTACCTATCGGCAATTGAATTGCCTACATTAATAAACATATACAGTATTTTAACTACGACGCATCAGCTTTCATGCCACGGAGAGAGAATTACGAGATTATTTAACAAGCGCTCCTCATGCATATTTCAATAGAACAAAGCGGCCGTTGTCAGAGAGGCTGTCTGAGCGGCTCGCAAGGGGTTAGTCAGCAAGCCCAAACAGGGGCAGGTGCAATGTAGTCTGTACTACAAAGGCAAACGTCTCCTGTGTAGCCTTAACAGACTGTTGGGGCAAGTGCTGTTAGCAAGCACCTATGAAGGCCGGCACGGCACACGAGGTGGTGGGTGGCCAGCATCACGCCCGGCCGCCGTTGTCTGCCTAGTGACTCATTTGAGGCTGAGTCAATCGAGGAGAGGCCCTGGACCGGTTCAGATATACGTCACTTTTATTGGCCGTGAGCGGGAATCGAACTGGGATTGCCCAATTTGTAGCACAGCGCGCTAACCACTACACTGCACACACACACACCCTAAACACAACGTCCAGTTTATAACTACACTGTGAGAGCAAGTATGTATATATGTTGAACTTCTTTCACACGGTATACGTAGCCAAGCGTACTAATCGGAGGTGCTAATCGGAAGTACTGTTAGCGAGCACCTATTAGCAACGATGCCATAAAAGGGGTGGTGCGTCTCCCCAGTGCTGGTGATTAAACACAACAGGCACAGTTCTGATGCAACGTACCACCCATGTTAGACAAGGGCGGGAGTCGAACTCGGCTTACCAGGCTCGTAGCACAATACTGCCCCATCACTCGCAAACACCTTTCACACACGGAGTAAACAGTGTCCTTGGTGACGGGGCCATGACTCCACACCTCCTCACTTAATCCACTGCCAGCCACATTACCACTCAGAAAATCATTAAAGCTGAGAGCACACACTATTGTGATAGTATCCAAGTGCTCTGCTATAGACCATTCTTCCGCACGCCTGAAGCAACTTTCACTCATGTATATGCTCACTACATGCGTGTACATAAAATATACAGCCCCTTGTAAATCCACTGCTGGATGAAGGCCTTTCCAGGCTATCAAACAAAGGCGTTGTTTGATCATACTTTGACCAAAGAGAGGAATGCAAAATAGGTTGAGATACCGCTTGCCCTGGGTTCTGGGAATCGGAACTTAGTGCACAGAGTTCACAGCACAGTGTTAACTAATGCACCACTGCTCCTCTGTGTATATATTACATTTCTCCCATGGATGGTCTTAAAAACGTGGCTCCCCCTCAGGGCATACGTACGCCAGATACGTACACCAGTGGCGCTAATGTGATAGCTCGAGGGACAACAGCTGTGTTCTTTACTCCCCCCTCCATTGCTCACTCTCTGTAAAATGTCACACGTCCCAATGGAGAGCTTATATACATTTGGAGATACAGAGCATGGATTTAAAATGTCATTATACGGAGAGGTTATTCACTGCAATGCACCTTTTCACATTTGCTCATCTCCGTTCAAATGCGAATTAGTAGGCAGTTACGCATCGCAAGCGATTAAAGCCCTGGATCACGAAGTGCAGCCAAAACGATTGCCAAATTAATGTGTTACGTCCGTGGTAGTTCAGCTACTAGTCCCTAATGAGGGTCCCCTTCATGGTCCTTTAGTTTCCTTCCGCACCGATGCTTTGCCGCCAGCGATCGCGTGGCTTCTGAAAGCTCATTCTGGAACTGTGCAGTGGAAAAAGTTGCTCAGTTGGCTCATTGCGTTTTGCTCTAATATTCCCCAGTGTCTTCACAGCAAGTTCCTCTCACAGAAGGTTTTTTTCCATCGCAATCTGTACTTAGGCTGTTGTAACACGGCGAGAATTTCCGAGGGAGATTTTACTAGTTTAGCGCAAAAAAATTGACGTTGCCTGATTGCTCTTTGTCCACGCTAACTCACCAGGTGCCAAGCCTCATAGTGACAAGGCCTGCTTGTAACAATGACCTGGTGAATCAGGTGATGCTGCATATACACCTTATTTGGGAACAGAATATAAGAATGACTTAAACATATTTTAAATGCAAAAAGTATCTGATTTCTCTCACCCCCATCAACGGTTACTTAATCACCCCACGAACTCTTCAACGTGCCCATGTACGGTGCACATCTGACAGAGGGGCTTTCATCCCCCATGACCTCCCCCAAACACAATATCACTCATCGGCCTCAACTCTCTGAAGCTTGCGCACACACACACACGAGCATACTTGTGCCAGCGGTGGGAATCTGGGACATTCATCCGAGGTGACTGCTCGCCTTGTCGATCGAGCCTGGACACGCCACGTCCGCACACCGGAGGCACACATGCAACCGAACCCCCACAATGTGCACAACGGCGCCGGGATTACGTGTGCGGCTGTTGGCCCACGTTCCGAATCACAAACAGCGAATGGAGCGTCTCTCCGAAATGCTTGGCAATTCAACGGCCCATACAGGGCTGTTCATTACAATTGAAGCCACAGAAACAGCTGCCGCCACTGTAGCCTTTTGCGCTGCCAATTTGACAAATACGGGTTCCTAGTGTTAATATTTTTATACCTTCAGCATTGTTCCAGGAACCAAATGTCACATTTTAAAAGATCATCGAGGCGATGCAGAGGTGGACCTGAATGCTGCAGGAGCGAACAAATTTGTGCATTTCTGCAACCCCACACTTAGCGAGCAGCTGTTGTTGTCACGGCGTTAAGAGATCTCAATCGGCACTGTCACTCATTTCTCCGCTCGATGAGCCAACGCTATTATTTTGTGAGTAACTGCAGTGTACAGACTGGGTGACACAGTGCTCGACATGGGCCTCTAGGATGGGCCCGGGGCACCACTGGCTGCCAGGTGTTGCTTGCAGATACATGTGGTGATTCACCTTTATGCTCAGCATGAATACTTCATTAGATCTCACTGAGCGCAAAGCAGAGGACGCAAAGTGGATTTCTCAACACAATGAGCGCACGTGATAGCAGACCAACGTCCACAAAATGTTAAATAATCAAACGCGGTTTACATAAGTGTATGTTATTATTCGTTGTATCGTGCTTGTTTACCCAGGAACGCCTCACTCAGTCTCAAGACTCTTTTTTGGATGGTCCTGCCAAGCTTTTGCAGTAGCGGGGCAATGTTACTGCTGTGTGTTAGTGTGTAGTCCAAATTGAGTGATTTGCAGGTAATTATTCCGCATTGGGATGTTTTGACCAAAACCAGTTCTGTTGTGTGTGTTTTTTTAAACCATGGCATGAAACCGGAGAATCTGGAGGAAACCCATTGCAAAACAGGGGAGGAGAACATTGAAACTCCACGCAAAGAGGATTATGAATTGGGAATCAAACGTAGGCCCTTCCTTCTTTCTGCGAGGCACACATGTTAGCACTGCACCACCCTGTCACCTGATTAACACTTTTTAGCGCATGGATGAGAACGATTCACCATCCTTATCACTATAAAACACTACATTGTTAATATACAGGGCAAGAATTTCACTAAGCTAATGCTTCAGGAAGCAGCCCTTCTTCAGCACAGAGAACACAACAGAGGTGATTACTCTCGGTTGAAGACGTCATTTTTCAATGTGGTGCCTCATGAAGAATATAAAGTTTAGCAAAAACATCTGTATAGTTTTTTTTTATATCAACAAATATAAATCAACAAATATGACGAGTAAATGTAAGCTTACGCATATTGTACATTTACACACGGCTGATAAGTAACCTGGCTAATCCCTCACCTTTCCCAAGTCGAACCTAGCTGCTGGTGATTGTACTGGTGTCAGGCAAAGCAACGATCCTTTTGGGCTCTTCCCAGCGTTTGTCTACAGGCTTTCACATCAGGTGTGCAGCAGAGCGGACATAAATACACACACTGGTTCCCATGCAGTTTCACAGACTGCTGGGGTGATTTCTATTTGTGAACAGCTACGGAGGCCGGCACAATACATGAGGGGGTGTTTGAGGGTACACCACACCAGGCCTCCTTTGCCTACCCACAATGATGATCACACACTGCAGCATGCACTCGTCTTCATTTTAAGTTAATCTACGAGAGGCCCAAGAGAGGTTTCGAAGACACTTCCAACTCACAGGCGTTGTCTCAGAATTTAAATGAGGTCGTTGGGAATTTCAATGCAGTGCGCTGACCATTGCACACTACAAATATGTGCACCCACGCACAGCACCCACACACTCATATACAAGGGCACTGCTCACGCATGTACACACAAGAGACACACTAAACCTTGTGGCTCACAGGAGGCCTCGTTCTCTATATAAACCTGCGGCCACAAAGGGCCCTGTGCCCTACAGAAGGGTTACGGGTGATCACTGGCAAAAGCCAGGTTATGGGTAGGAGGGTGAGATTGCGTGGAAGGATTAGTGGTTATGTGAGTGAGTGGGTGAGAGGGTAGTCAGTGCGTGAGTTGGTGGGTGGGCGAGTGGATCTGTGAGTGAGTCGGTGAGTAATGAGCGAGGTCTTACCCGCGAGATGGTGAGAGGCATGTTGAAATCCTTCCCACCCTGCAACCGGAAGCCCCATGGTGCGGGCCCGTGCAGCGTCACTGCATAGTTGCTCATGATTCAGCTCTGGCCAGGACTGCAGACAAAGACAAACACACAGACAAAGACCCCGTCTGTAGTTGACAACACAGAGTGCGGGGGAGCGCTGCTGCTCATGCGCACTGATGAAGGTCATCACGGCACATGAAGGGGTGGTGGGGATAGGTGCTACGCCTGGCTATCACCGCCTTCGTCTCCTCAGAGTATGCGTTTATTCACAGTACCAGGTGCTCATTTAAGGCTGAGACTACCTCGGAGAGGGCAGGAACCAGTTCAGATATTCAAATACAGAATCCACACGACAAACAATGACACCTGACCTCTGAGACAGAACAGCTGTGGGGATATATTTCAAGAACTATTCAATGGCTGTTTGAAAGACCAGTTAGCAATCTGAACATGTAGTTGTATGTGCAAATGACATGAAAAGTTTAACTTAAATAAGTGAGTCTTTACAACACATTAGCTATTACATATTGACTGAGACATTCTGTTTTTCTTAACATTTAGTCTCCCTCCATAGAAGTATTCTCTTTTAATATACGGACTGATAATGTGTGGTGATAATATGTATGCACTTTTAACTTCTTTCACATTGTATACAGAATGGGCACCCTTCATGGCTGCAGTATGTCCAGGATGAAGCAGGTTAACTTCATGCAAGACAGGCAATGAACCGCTGGTATAAACTTGACAAATGTACATAATTATAAACGTCTACACACCTACTATGAAACCTCTCAGGTAAATTGTTAACTGGCACAAGTTAATTGTGCGAGTGTTGTGCAATGGCAGGTGCTCACATTCCATTAAGTGGCTGAACCCAAGTCGCTCCTGGACAGACACAGAATCCATCGCGAGATTGCAACAACACTGCCAGCAGCACCGCAGACATCACAAAGTGGCTCCTTTACCTCGACAGCGCAAGTCAGAGACCACGGCCCAACAGTGGCTACCATTGATTGACCCCAACAAGAAAGCCATTGAGAGGAGGCTTTGCCTTTTTGAGAGCGCCAACATTTTAAAAACAGATTTCCTTTAAAAGGCAGAATCAAAACGTGCGGTACTACAACGCCCGCCGCTGTTAAATATAAAGAGGTCCGTTCCAGATGAAAATCACCCATGTTTTGCAAAATCAAGCAAAGGGTTTTGCGAAATGTAATGCAGACACTCATAGAACACACGACCCCACAATCCTCACATTCTTTCCACTGGCTTTAAATCCAGTGGCTAATCAGTTACCTCCAAAAGTCTGGCATTGCCTATCATCTATAGAAAATGGTGTATGTGTGTGTGTGCATCGTGTGTTGGAATATTAAGTCTCGTTGTCCAAACATCCGGCTGCCAGGCGGCTCAGTGGTAGAAAAGCTCACAATCAGAAGGTTGTGAGTTCACATCCTGGGTGGGGTTTGATTCATCCCATCATCCCTCTGGGATTGATACAAGAGTACCGTGTTGTGAGGAAGTGAACAATGGTTGTTATAAACTTGTCCATGCCATAGCACTGGGGAATTTTCACCATTGTCTCAGGGCTATAAACAGTATCGAGCATAGCCTCAATGCCAATTTGAGTAGGGAATAATTGTCTTTACATATATATAAAACAACCTGCGGTGGTTCACCTGTAAATAACTACAATTTGTTGATGACCTCCAACAAAACCCGCTTTATTGTATGTTGCAAAAAGTATCGGTTCTTGTTGGCACACTATCACCAGGAGAAACATGAAGGGGTGGCAGGTGATGCAGACATAATCTTCACCACAATTATGGGGTGGGGGGGGGGGATTTCTGAAATTTAGTCGTTGCTACTGTTGCTGCAGAGTGTGTTGTGGGGTGAGGTGGTGGTGGTGCCCTGCAGACGACACGGCTGTGTAGTCTAGCGCCCGGCTGCCACTTAATAAGAATTAACGAAATCCTCAACGATGAATTCACATGAAGCATGTACTCAGTGCAGTGGGGGGGGGGGGGGGGGGGGGGCGGCATGACAGCGCGTCACCTGCAAACACCTTTTTCAAAGGAGCATTTCTCTCAATCATGGGGACAACGCGCTCGCTTGGGAAACTGAGTCAGGGTTAAGGGAAGCACCTGCCTGGCCTCAAATAGGCTCTGCTGCCACTGTGAGTCACTGTGAATTCTCTGTGTGACCACGTTGTGAGCGATGGAATCTCGCAGACGAGCTGTCCCCCCCCCCCCCCCCCCCCGCTTCTTGGCATAGAGACCTGAGACCCACGGGGTGCTGCCGCCTCACTGACACGGGGATCAGTGAAACAACTTTAACCCTGAACATTGCCTCCTGCTCCCTCCCTCCCTGCTCCCAACACCCATCCCAGCCTGGCCTCCCCACACCACCATCACCACCACCACCCCCTATCAGTGTCACTCACGCAAGGCCCTCAGCTGACCTGTCTGGGAGACCTCAGAGGAATCACAAACTGGCCTCACATTGATCTAGATTCTTATATATTGAATTGTTGCACTGTAGTAATAGTTTAAAAGGTCAACGCGACTTCTTCAAATTGGAATGTGCAAGTGCTCATTCTCATTGACAACCAGAGCCAATGATGGAAATCTCATATTCCTATGGCAGGCTTGACTCAATGCATATTTGAGCCATTGTTAACATTCTATAAAGTGTTATTAATTTAGTCAACTCAGAGGCATAAAGGGCTGGCCCCTATTGGAATGTTAACTTTCAACCTTCCAATTACTGGTGTCTTATATGGCAGTCATAGTTGTACCCTTTACTTTAGCAGGTAAACCACAGTGACAGAATACATCTCATGCTCAAGCAATATCCGAGATAAACACTATTAATGATCATGACCAGGCATGATCAATCCACTGCTGGATGTGAATTTCCCCATGCCATTACCATCCCATAGAATCCAGTGATCCCAATGCTCCATCTCCACGGTGGCCGTTCTGTTGGATGTGTTCTCTCCTTGGGCTGCCATTCTATCCCAGAGATAGTCCACTACTCGTAATCCCTTCCAGAGGAGATGTGCTCTGCCCAAGCCAATTTACTTTCTTCAGTCATACAGTGAGGGAAAAAAGTATTTGATCCCCTGCTGATTTTGTACGTTTGCCCACTGATAAAGAAATGATCAGTCTATAATTGTAATGGTATGTTTATTTGAACAGTGAGAGACAGAATAACAACAAAACAATCCAGAAAACGCATGTCAAAAATGTTTAATGAGGGAAATAAGTATTTGACCCCTCTGCAAAACATGACTTAGTACTTGGTGGCAAAACCCTTGTTGGCAATCACAGAGGTCAGTCGTTTCTTGTAGTTGGCCACCAGGTTTGCACACATCTCAGGAGGGATTTTGTCCCACTCCTCTTTGCAGATCTTCTCCAAGTCATTAAAGTTTCGAGGCTGATGTTTGGCAACTCGAACCTTCAGCTCCCTCCACAGATTTTCTATGGGATTAAGGTCTGGAGACTGGCTAGACCACTCCAGGACCTTAATGTGCTTCTTCTTGAGCCACTCCTTTGTTGCCTTGGCCGTGTGTTTTGGGTCATTGTCATGCTGGAATACCCATCCACGACCCATCTTCAATGCCCTGGCTGAGGGAAGGAGGTTCTCACCCAAGATTTGACGGTACATGGCCCCGTCCATCGTCCCTTTGATGCGGTGAAGTTGTCCTGTCCCCTTAGCAGAAAAACAACCCCAAAGCATGTTTCCACCTCCATGTTTGACGGTGGGGATGGTGTTCTTGGGGTCATAGGGAGGATTCCTCTACCTCCAAACACGGCGAGTTGAGTTGATGCCAAAGAGCTCCATTTTGGTCTCATCTGACCACAACACTTTCACCCAGTTGTCCTCTGAATCATTCAGATGTTCATTGGCAAACTTCAGACGGGCATGTATATGTGCTTTCTTGAGCAGGGGGACCTTGCGGGCATTGCAGGATTTCAGTCCTTCACGGCAGAGTGTGTTACCAACTGTTTTCTTGGTGACTATGGTCCCAGCTGCCTTGAGATCACTGACAAGATCCTCCCGTGTAGTTCTGGGCTGATTCCTCACCGTTCTCATGATCATTGCAACTCCACGAGGTGAGATCTTGCATGGAGCCCCAGGCCGAGGGAGATTGACAATTCTTTTGTGTTTCTTCCATTTGCGAATAATCGCACCAACTGTTGTCACCTTCTCACCAAGCTGATTGGCGAGGGTCTTGTAGCCCATTCCAGCCTTGTGTAGGTCTCCAATCTTGTCCCTGACATCCTTGGAGTGCTCTTTGGTCTTGGCCATGGTGGAGAGTTTGTAATCTGATTGATTGATTGATTGCTTCAGTGAACAGGTGTCTTTTATACAGGTAACAAGCTGAGATTAGGAGCACTCCCTTTAAGAGTGTGCTCCTAATCTCAGCTCGTTGCCTGTATAAAAGACACCTGCGAGCCAGAAATCTTTCTGATTGAGAGGGGGTCAAATACTTATTTCCCTCATTAAAATGCAAATCAATTTATAAAATTTTTGACATGCGTTTTTCTGGATTGTGTTGTTGTTATTCTGTCTCTCACTGTTCAAATAAACCTACCATTAAAATAATAGACTGATCATTTCTTTGTCAGTGGGAAAACGTACAAAATCAGCAGGGGATCAAATACTTTTTCCCTCACTGTATGTACGTATGTATGATGAACTTATTTCGCACTGTACGTAGCCAACCGTGCTAATCAAAGGTGCAGTCAATGTGATACCTCTGTTTTGCATTTGATCCCTGATCATGACATAAGATGCATATGAAACACGATAAATAGGCACATGAACTGAGATACATAACTGGAGTTATTCATTCATTTTATCATCATACGCACAAAGATTCAGAGAAATTCAAACGTAAACTGCACCATCAATGATTTTATTTAATAAGTAAATACGGTTTATTTTCATAAGTGAGCATTGAGGTGATGTTAATTTCTGTATGAAGCTCTCACCAATTATCGAATTTTCACATTCTTATGGCAGGGTTGCATTTATCTGTAGGAAAAACACTTTTACATCCCCACAAAGGTGGCACTCGATGTATTGACTGGGACAAAAGATGGCCCAAGTCAATTCCAAAACTGGATTTGACAAAACTAGAACAGAAATGGTAACACGTGTTTCATGAACTTGTAATCACCCTTCTGATGCACCTTACAAAACTGCACCATTTGGCATGCCCGTCGATACGAATCCGAATTTAGAAGCGTAAGTATAGGGGCCATGGGGGGCCCGTATGGCGTAGCCGTCGGGTGACCCATGAAATATATTGAAGAGGGGGGGGGGGGGACACGAGATACAGTTTGAGCCCATTCCCAAAGTTTGTGGAGGCATGCGGGGCGAGGTGGCTGCTTTGTTTGCCCCCAATGTTCCCACACCAATGCTCACTGCCAAATGATGCAGATTGGTTGGAGGCTTCTGGTTTTATCCCGCATGCCGTGGGTGTGGAAACTCAAAGGGTACAATTAGAGGAGTGCAGTTCTTCGTGCATGCCACGCAGACGGCATGACGAGTAGAGATCGGTATCTCTGGCTTCTACATAAATGCTGTAATCAATGCCACCACTACTATCCTTATGAACACCCTTATAAAATATATGCATAATGAATAAATGTTGTACACCAACCAGCAGCACGCTATTCTTTATTTACATTTTGCATCAAGTCAACGGCACTAATCCCATGGATTGGACTGACTCCAACCATGGGAACGTGGAATCTCAACACCATTAGAGATGGGAAATGCTTCACGGTTATATGTGCTGGCAGCTAAGCCACTGGGACATGTTTTGACACAGAAAAGCCAGGGGCTTCACTGTGTTGCAAAGATTCATTGACAAGACAAAGTCCTGCTTGGGGTGTTTGGTACAACTAGAATCAATATTCCAATCTGCATCCATCCTTGCCGACCTTCCTTCAACGATGCCAAACCTTCAAGGAAACGATTCATAGTAAGGGAGGTATTTTGAATGCCTAATTGCAAGCCCTTTTATTGCAGGAATGTGCCTCCTAATCTCTGAGAGGGCTCGTTTTCCTTGGCTGGAAGCTTCTCTGAGCATTCTGCTCCGCTGTCTGCAGAGACGATTACGCGCGTGTGTGTGCGTGGCGAGTACGTGAGTGCGAGTGCGCATATTATAAGGGCGCAGGCTGGAAATAGCCGCGGCTAAATTTACACCGGGACCATCTAAACGCGCACGGCGCTCCTCCAGAGTGCACGCCGCTTGCCTTACATGGGAGCTGCATACTCAGCAGCCCGCGATTTCCAAGCGGCTCCGTTTTCTATTCCCCCTTTTTGTCCTTTCTACCAACCACTTGGTGGTAAATTAAATATAACCGGGTGCGCAGGCAGTGCTGTTGGCTGTGGATGTGTGTGCGCGTGTGTCACAGTGAATGGGAGCACTGCATATCACAATCCAGGGTGACCTGGATTCAATTCTCCGCCATGTGAAGAAGCATCACGTCGGCGTGTCGTCGTCCCTTAACGTGTCTTTATCACACATCAACTCGGCCCTGACTACCTCACTCTTTGTGTGGAGATCAGCACTTGGGAGACAAAGGCGGGCAGGCGTGGTTCTAAACGAGGGATACCAATCAATAGACTGTACTTAAGGCTGGACAAGGTCAAATATTGGCAATACACGCCGTAACTAGGGCATTATTGTCCGTAAATAGTTGAATAGAGACCTGATAATCACTGATAATCCTGAACACACATGCACACAACACACGTGTCCAATCACAGGAGTTTGCACCTCGCTAATCGTGTAAAATATATTTCCTTAATTTTGCCTTTTTCTTAAGCCTAATGCATGTTTTATATATTTAGGCCGTGTTAATAACCAGCGTGGTGATGCACATTTATTTAATTAATATAATCTGCATGAACTCAAACAAAAACGTGCATACGTGTGAAGATGTATGCGTGCATTAAACACATGCTTGACGATGCGTACTCCACAGGAACTGCGACCAACACTGAACGAATGCGGTCGAAACGTCTCCTCCACACTTTGCCGGGGCACCAAAATGGGATTACAGGACGTGCCGGAAAACTAATAATCACCGCTATTTAACATGAGCATTGGGGATTGACTGTTGTAATTGAACGATATAAAGTGTACTTTTTATTTATTTTATTCATAAAATGAGTACCACTCTGTGGGAAGTCAACAGTGGTTGCCCTATGGATAGACCCATTCCTGTCATAGGAATGTGGAATTACTGCCGCCGGCTAAGGGCCCGTAAACAGATGAGTACCGCCTCAATGCTCATTTGAGCGGTAACTCGCTTTGAACAAAAGCTTTATTTGGGGTTTCAGAGGCTGTGCATGTTGCAACAGAACAGGCTTTTGCGGTGTACACAAAGAGCCAATGTTACTGCCCGATGCCTGCCCTGGGCTTGTTAACTCCTGTAGCGCGGAGTGGACTCGGCCATATGCTGCAATGTAAAGATGTCCTCATTATCCGTGCTATGTACACCCAGTGGGTGTATGGGAGGAAGGTTCGTAACCGCCTGGATGTGCGTGCGTGTGCGTGCGTGAGGCCACGGTGCCAGTGACGGCGCAAACAATAGCAAGCAGCAGCATGCCACTCGCTCAACTATGGTAGTCTCCGAACTCCTCTACCGTCGTTCGCAGGAGATAGATCAGCAGCTGCTGAATCTGAACGCGAAATAACACGAGAGCTTAGCGAAACAGCAAGGGCGCCCTACACCACACACACACATCACACACGAGCCCCATTGTATCGCGCCCTTAACTGTTGCCATGCGCCCAGCGAGCGGTTACTTGTGGCCGACACAATACAAGAGGACAGCTTTTGCTCGTTTCTCAGTGGAGGTCACGAGCAGTGAACAACTCAGCAGCTTTTGGCTGCTCGCCATCGAGCAAAGACGGTCGCTTCTGCGGCCGTCTGGAACGCTCTTCCTTCCGATATTATCAAGCCACTGGGGAGCTATGCACTTTGAAATCATCACCTAGATTGACAATCTAATTCCTTTAAAACTGCCTTTTTGTGTTTAGTTTGTTGTCCTTCCGTCGCACCTCCGATTACTTGGCTACGTACGGTGCGAAAGAAGTTCGACACACAAGAATAGGGCCGGCAACCACGGGAACCCAGCCAGCCCTCGAGACGCGCTCGCAATCTCAGTCTGGGTGACCTCGTGTTATCGCTGTGGGTGGAATGACCACGCCAGCAATCTGTCCTATGCGCCGTCTGCCTCACATAAAGACATTGAATATCCCCTGGCGTCATTCGCAAGAGCAGGCCAATGTGTGCCGAACTTTGATAACATTAAAAAATTACCCGATGCGGACTGAACATGGCAACCGACGCCCCCTACTGGCAAACTAACACCCCAGGTCTATCGCAAATGAGACTTATCCTGGTCTCTTGACTTAACCACCTGGTTAAACAAAAGAAAACGCGCGTTGTTCTCAGCGCTTTTATCGCGTCAGCTAGCAGTTGACTTACTACTGTACCGCCTTTCAGTCCATCCACCCTTCCATCCGCTCATCCACCAATGCCATATATTGATTCACCAAACCATCCACTTATCCATTCATCATTCTCAACTATCCATCCATAAAGCCTTTAATCCACTAATCCAGCAATCCATGAATGCATCCAGCGATCCATTCATCCACTCATCGCTTAACCATACAACTCAACCATCCATCCACCCATCTATTAATCCATCCTCCTGCTTTTCCTCCCTCCCCGTAAACATGTAATCCTCTTGCACCATCTGGAGCATCAGTCCCTCGTTTCTACCTTAAGACGTCAGCGTCCCACATCTCCGTGTGCAGGTGCCTGCGCTCTGCACAGATCACGGGCGAGCGATGGACGCTTTATCATCATCACGATCCGCCACATCGCTCTTGCTTTTCAACAGCTCCACCTTCATCTCAATGCATGGGATCGGCGACTTCGGCAAAAACGCATGCACAATGCTGAACGGCGCGGTACACGTGGTGGGGCACTTACACACCACAGCGCACTTCGAACAGTAACACACCGCGCACCTCCCACCACAGTGCATATCGCACAGACACAGGACAACAGAGTCCACTTCGCAGCAGCACACGAGGCACTGCGTATCGCGGCGGTGCGCGCATCACAGTTTCACACAACACAGTGACCGCAGCGCGCAGACAGCGACTCGGCGTGCGGCGAAGCGGGACGCTCACCACACTCGGGGGGGCTTCCTCGACCGCTTGGGTGCAGCAAAGGTGGCGACTCCTCTGCGGCGCTGCTCCGCTTTGCCTGCGAGCGCCTCTTTTCAGCCCCCCGCCTACAGATAAATTTAGCGGCGGCTCCTTTTACGTCACCCACACAGGGCGCCGTCAACAAGGCAGCCACCACTACCACCCCCAGCCAGCAGCAGCTCCCGACACGCGGGGCGCATCCCTCTCCTGCCGCCCGCCCCCTCGCCCCCCACCGGCTTGTCCCGAACGCGAACCCCCCCCCCCCTCAACGTCCATTACGTCAGCCTTAATTAGAGTCACGGCACGCGTAGTCGACTGGCGATGCCCAGTTAGCCGCCTTTAGCTGCTGCTGCTGGCAAGTGAAGGGCGTGAGCGGCTGTGCCCTGGGCCAGCCTGGGGCCGCAGCGTACGAACCGGGGGTCACCAACCACGGCACACGTGTCGCGTCTTTGCCTGGGCAAAAGGCAACAGCGACAGCAGCCGGCTGCGTTCTCGCTCATCACGTACACGCAGCCTGCCTCCTCGCTCTTCCTTGGTTGGTTGCGGGAGGAGATAGATCTCAATGAAGTTATCGATATCGATCGATCTCGGTATTTCCTGAACTCCAATAGCAGGTGCGCCCTATTGTTCGCCATGTTCACGCGCCTGGCGATTGCAAAACAATGGCTCGAAAGCGACGGCGGTGCTTGTGTGAGGGTGGGGAGCGGTAGTGTAGTGGTTAGTGCGCTGCGCTACGACTCTTACCACCGGGGTTCGATTCCCGCTCACGGCCAATACCAGTGACGATTATCTGAACCGGTTCTGGGCCTCCCCTAGGTCGACTCAGCCTCAAATGAGTACCTGGCGTGGTGCGTAAAAAACATCGCCACTAGGGAGACAAAGGCGGCCGGGCGTGGTGCTGGCCACACACCCCCCTCGTGTGCCGTTCTGGCCTTTATAGGTGCTCGCTTACAGCACTTGCCCCTACAGTCTGTTAAGGCTAGACGGGGATCTTTGTCTTAGGAAGCCCTCTGAATTGAAATCGGTGCTCACCACGTCACGTCGGGATAATATTGAGCCATTGTGCAATGACCACATTTGTATTTTAGCGGAGAAGATTGGTAAATCATGTGAAGGCCGTCCTTTGCGGGTGGTCAGGACCAGTGGCGGGCCGTGTATTTTACACGCTTTTATTTAACTCACTGTTGTTGTCGTATCCTCAAATCTTGTAACTCAATTTTAACCCACTTCCCAATGTGGTATCGACTGCAAACTTGGTATACTTATGTCATACTGATGGCAATACTAGATTCCAAAGAACACAGGATGAGATGTTACTATCCTTTGTGCAAGCAATATTTTTTTTAATATGTTATGGTTCGGCCTCGGTCTAATTGTCCACGCTCATCTGACATTGCCTGTAAATCACCACGGTCCCTTACGTTATGGCAAGCTTTGGGCTCACTTCCTGGAGTCGTGGAGTTCTGCCATTACCAGTAGGGTACATTTCATTGATGCGTGTTTTTTTTAAAGTATTTTTTTAAATATTACTTATTATTACACCTAGACCCTGTGCTATCCTCCCGCAATTAAACCGCCTTCGAATAACCTCACCATGACACTCGGGCTATAGGCTATTGTCATTCGACGTAACGACCCCATATTCACTGTCTCGGCCTCGTGCGCTGCGTTGCACCACTATCCGAGTAGATAACCTCGAATTCAATAAACCTTCAGAGCCAGGGTGAACATCCGACTCCAAACGTATTTAATTAATTGAACGAGGTAAAACTGATGGAAAAACAGCACAAATACAGCATCTGTTAATACTTGGAAATATCAATACAATAAATGAATACTACAGCATCCTAACATTGTCTTAGATAACATGAAACTCAACAATAGATATTGGGTGGACCAGGCACCTACATTAGTACTGAATAGCTATACAAGAGAATAAGCTACTGTGTTAAATAAGGGCACATCGTGTAATCACCATACTGCAGCCTAAATGTACAGCACTACACATAACACTGAACTGTGGATGAGATATTTCGTTATCCTTGCTCTCAAGATCGCAATAAGGTTACATGGGTACAAGTCTGACTCGACTTATTCAATTACAAGTAACATTCACAATAAGGCAAGTGGCAGGCTTCGTTAATTAGGCCTCATATTTATCATAACAATTTAACATCATTATAAAGGCATTTACAGAATTATAACGGCCATTCTAACATTCTAACAGCATTCCCAGTATTATAAGAAAATAAACGAACTTACAGACAATGCTTATTAAAGTCCCACAATGAACAGTTGCACCTGTCTTTACTGGGACGCTATTTGTGCCACCGTTTCGTACTTTGTGTAATGGCTGCTAGCCTGCCGCATGGCTTAGAGGATGTCAAATCGTAACTTCCTGGTCACCTGACCAAACTCAACATCCAGACAGGAAATTCCTGTGTACACACACCCCCACACCTGCCATGAGGCAGAACATTCACAGTGATAGTAACCTTTATCGAGTTAAATAAAGTGATTTAACACGACACTCAACACCTATGAGAGTTACAATACACTAATTGCAGAGACATGAATACATGGTGACTGAAACCATCAAGTATGTACCACTATTACGCAGTATGACAGGATGCTGCATCACAAATAGACATCGCATAACCCAACTCAATGTCATTACCAAAGAAACAAGAACAAACTCACAACAACAACCTGTCATTTGAACTCATACAACCACCAAGCAAGCAAAAATGCCATAAAACAACACAATCAGGATTCAACAGGCTTCCACACTGAAAAAAAACTAAAAATCTAAAACACTACATCTAAAAATCTAAACGTCACGAAAGAAAGTTTAAATAAATATTAGATGATGCTACGTTGCATGCTAGCTAGTTTTACTTCAGTTAGCTGACTGGCCCTCCGATCATGCCACACAAAAAATGCTAACGTAGGCGGCTAGGCCAGCTAGAAGGCTCAGGCGTGTCAAAGAATACGCCCAAAATGGCAAACTCAAAATCTGATTGGTTAAAGAAGATGACAATCAACAACTTCGTCCCCATTTGCTTCAACAGCAGAGGGGATTCACTCGACATTCTGAAGGCCTCAGGGTAGATTTTTCACCCGGAGAGGTGGAGACAGCAGCACAGGTGGAAAATCTGATTGGATAAAAGCTCTAATTTATTAGCAGCACTGGAAGAAGCGCAACTGAGGGAGAGAGTAGCAATGAAATGACGTTAATAGACTGATGGGAACGAACTTTGTAAAATACATATAGCATTAATGCAAATATATATGAAATGATAAAAACATAATTTTCTGATTCTGACTATCTCTAGGCCAGCAGAGAAGGCCTTGCTGGCCCTGACGGGCTGCCTCTGGTCAGGACTGGAGTTTGGACATCCCAGCCTCCATCCCAGCCGGGTTTGTGCTACTGTATGCGTGTACTGTATGTTGAGCTTCTTTCGCACCGTACGTAGCCGACCGTGATAATCGGAGGTGCGGGAGTGATGCACGCCTGGAATGCAGCGACTTTGCGGATCTTGTGGATCACGCCGAGATTGACTCTGTTTGATACCGACTTCTGCAATTGCCTGCCACAAGACAGTACGGCAAGTAGGTGCATTTGGGTATGTAACTATCCAGTGGAATCCACCCTACCCAACCATTTCTAGCGTAAAATGTAGTAACTGTAGCCCTTTGGGAATGTTTTAAAAAATGTTAAAATTGGTAAATAACCGAGCTATTTAAGGTTACGGTACTTATATTTCTTAAATGATTAAAACATTTTGGCCAAATTGTTGAATTGCGTGTTCTCGAACACTGATGGGTCTCACACCAGGATATTCGGGCCATTTCCACACTCGTGTCAGCCAAGAAACCCGTGGGGTTGATTCCCGATTCGAGCGCCTTCTGTATGGAGTTTCCATCTTCTCACCTGGTCTGCCTTAATTTCCTCCTGGTTCTTTGGTTGCTGATGTTTTCCTGCTACAGCAAAAAAATATATGTAAGTGGTATTAGCCAAAACATATCAATGGAGCCAGAGCAACGCGAGGAGAGGCTCAACGACTGTGGTCAGATGTGGTCCCCATTGCTGGCTTAGCCCACTTTGTCCCCGTCTGTTCATATTGAGCATGCTGGGGATTCGGACTGACTGCAAGGAGCATGTGGATATGTCGTGTTTACGCTGACTGTATGTGGGGTTTTCTTTCTGTTACCTCCCCCCCCCCCCCCGTCGTTTGTGTTTGCTTCTGCTGGCTTCACCTTGCCCGTGGACAATCCCCGTGTAATCATGACAAGCGTGAGCCGGCTCCGCGTAACCAGGGTTACATGTATGGTGGTCATGATTGACACACACACGCCACAACTAGGGGTAGGGGTAGAAACCGGTCCGGACCGGTCGGGCCAACGGCGGTTGGAACCCCTCTGAGGGGAGGGGGCTGGCAGAAGCTACGATCCCCCAGAACCCTGCCCCTCAGGGAGAAAGAGTATATAAGGCGGGTCCCTGAGAGCGCGAGTCAGTCCGTCTCAAGCCGAAGCCAGAAGCCGCCTGAAGAAGAAGAAGACCCTGGACCCTAAGCCGCCGACGTACTTCTAAGGACCGGGGCTTAGTGCGGTTCCAGTGGTCGTGGGGTTAGGACCCTGAGGTTCCCTCGGCCTGATGCCCTTGTAAGGGCCAGGTCCGGACGGGCCAGTGGTCGGGGACCCACCGGGCCAGCGGTGGGTCAGCCTCCCCTAGGTCTAGCTAGCCGGAGGGCTGGAGTAGGGAGAGTTGCAGGTACGATAGCCCGGAGGCTGTACCTCCCCAGGTTGTGGGTAGAAGGGGCCATTACCCCTTTGTGTTAGGGATTAGTGTGAACTGTTTGGTAAAATAAAGCATGTTGCCTCTACGAAGACTCCGTCTCCCTCCAAGAACATTACACATGTAATGCCCTCATTGTGACTTTCCTTGCTGGAGCTCTTGTTACGAATACAATTTATAAATAACTACAAGGTCACCGGGTAGAGTTGTTATATCCTTGAGTTGGGGGTTCAAATTCATAAGGTTTACTGTTTTATACCATATGTAATAAAAGGAGAGGTTGTATCTCTTACCCATAATTAGAACAATAAAGCAGCGCTAAATCGCATAATTCGTTCAGGGTTTCCCAGAGGGAGGGGC